TCCTAGAGCGTTTGAGTGTATGAATTCCGCAAATGTGAATGTATTTCAAAAACTCCATAGAAACTTAATGAATTTTTTCAAGTTGAATGCTTAAGAGAATTCAGCCGAAGAGAATCCTTCTTTAGAATTCATGAGTTTTGTTTGATTTTTAGCTTCGTTCAATTTGGGTGAGAAAACTCGTCGTCGAACGGCCACACCCGCCGAACTTATGACCCCAATGAAAGCAAGCAGGTAACCGTTAGCACACCACTCAATCAGTTGTTGATTTCGGATATGTGTCGTCGAATCGTACACATCCTATAATGCATAGTAGACAATCGGGACATGTTAACTGCGGTTATCAAAATCAGTTACACTGAATATATCTAAATACATTTTATATGAATTGGTTGATTTTAAGCCTCAAAAGAAACTACCATGAACACGTATGAATTTGTTTGAAAGTACAATCTGGATAAACTTGTTATTGAAGAAACACTTATGTTTTAATGGTTATTGAAATGTGAGCTTTCAGATCTTTAGAAGAGATTCGTGAGTTGACTGATGATAATGTTGGTGTTGAAGAGCGAACACGCTCACATTCACCGACAAGTGCTACCACAACCGAAATTGATGCCGAAAGCACGGATAGTAGAGCCGAATCAGTTTGCTCACCATCAACTTCATCGCATTCGCATAGAATAATGTTAGTTTGAGTGAACACCAGCCAGCCCCAACTAACTCAAAAATCTTAACTTAATTCATTAATCTTCATTAAATTTCAACTTGTTGTTGTTGTTGTTGCACTCAACACAATCACATCGCAACAGCAGCTTACATCTCGTCTCGTCAGCTAAATGCGCTGTTCTCATCGAAAGAATTCGTGTTTTCCATTTTACATTCGTTCCGTCTGTTTCCTTCACTACTGTTGCCATTTTGCTGCCGAAAAACAATTTCTTCCATTAAGCATATAGACACGTACTTTCCATTTGATTTTCGTTTCGTTTTCATATCGCTTTTCCGTTTTCAATTGTGACATCATCAACGATTCTTTGTTATGGTCTAATGCAATAAGCAGTTTCTGAGTTCTTCAGCGAGTTTCATGTCATATTTCGAATGTGAGTTGTTTGTTGCAGTGAAGTGCGTGCGATTCATTGCATCATTGAATACTAGTAGACAAAACATCGTTATTGTTGTCGACGACTGTCAATTGAAGGTTTAGAGCATTGTTGAAATGCTTTTTTGTACGGAAATCATCGTCGATTAACAGGACGCAGTCGTCGTTTGAGAAATTGAATCAACTTAAAGCAACTGAATCTTTATTTGTTAGCTCAAATTAATCACTTTTCTTTCCGAATCTGGACTGAAAGAAAATTTCTGCTCTCTGCTTTGATATTTCTTGAAATAGCATCAGACGTTCTCGATTTTCATAACTTCATCGNTGTTGCTGTTTTGACCACTTTCCGTAGTTGTTAGCCGTGTGAAGTTCAATGTAATGCCCTCTGTCGCCATCTAATCATCGCTATCAGTGGTGCTATGTTACAGTAATAGGATTGCGAGCGATCAAACTCCTCAACGAGATCAAGGTATCGTCGAAAAGATGCCAGTTTCTCGTCAGTCATCCGTACCGTATCGGAGTAGAATCATCGAAGTGGCATCAACCAGCAAATTGGAATCCATGAGACAGCAATCGTCCTTGAATCGCTCCCATCGGTATCTCCATGCTTCTTCTTCTTTTCCTTCATCGCAATCTTTCGTATGCATCGTTGATTCACATAATTCGTGATTGTTGATGCCGTAACAATAACAAATCACGGCCATTTCTATCAACTTTCATCTATTCTGATCAATCTTATTAACCTCTTCACCTTATTGCAGTTAGTTGATGAATTAACCAAAATATTACACGAAGCTATAGCGTATTTTGCATTAGTTTTAATTGCGATCACCCTTCTAAGTTTTCATTATCACTTGTAAATCTTATTGACTGATAATTAAAAAATTATTGTTGTTTGTGAACTACCTATGTTCAAGAAAACTATGGCAGTCTAATTTCTCCGAGAAGTTTCATTAGAAATTTGTTGGTTGGTTCCGAAAATATGTTTGTGTTGAAAAGATGACAGCTAATGGTTCAAGCTTCCGCAGTCAGTGTAACATTTACCGTTCTAGTGTACAGTCGATTCAAGCTTCAACGCTTAACGCTTTTCATGCTTTCCATGAAAATGACACTTTAAGCTTATCACGCAAACGCAGCAGTTTTCTAGATGAGCCATCAACTGTCATGAAACGAAACGATTTGATGACTATCTCCTTTGATCGCTTTAGAAGACTAAACTATAACTACTGAAGGGGATTTGGGGATTTTGATTTACATTTTGATTTATTCTTGATAACATCTGCAAAATATTTATCACTAATGCCCAAATAATCATTATTTCAATGCTTATTTGCACGCTTATGAAGGAATCGTTAAGTTTGCTTTTTTGGGAAGTGTAGTGTTGGTGTGTATATGGTTGGATATTGTTCGAGTTTATGGATTCAGTTTGTGATCTGCTTAAAGAATGGTGGTGTTTTGTTGTGCTATGTGACATTATGTTGTGTGTTGCTAACAGGTTGAAGCGTGCTGTGAAATCCAGCTCAAATATTCCTTCTTCTTCTAAGACAACCATTCGATTGGATGATGAGCAGTTCGCTTGTACAAGTAATCAACCGGCTTCCGACATCAATTGTTCTCAGAACACTCAGCCGCTATCCACATCAATCAGATCATCGAAAAGACGATTTCCATCGAATATGTCCGTATTCGCTCGCCTCTTCCCGTCTAATAACGCTTATGGCTCTTCACTATCCACACTCTTGTACCGGTCCACTTCATTTAACTTTTTATTTATGGCTTATGCTTATTTTACATTAACCTTTTTTTCGGTTTGTTTCTTTCGCATAGTAGCCCACCGTTTAATATATTTGCACATGCATATACGCCTATGTATTTGCGCGTTCAAATGACAAATATGGTAGAAAAATGAGATTAAGACTTCGAAGCATTCACTTTCTTGTCTTGTCGCTTCAAAATCGCTCAGTTCACATTTGCTTCTCATGTGCCTGTATCGCTCATTAAAGATATTGAAATCACATATCTTCTTAATCAAACATCATGAATGATATGTTTTGATAGATAGTACACCTCTGATCTTGCCAACACAATCGATACCATCGATTTTCACAAACCATGATGTTTTTTCGCTAAGAAATGTGACCGTTTAGATCAATTTTTATTTAACTTAGCGTAATAATAATCATCTGATAACGAATAATAATTTCTCCGATTCGTGCTGGTATGCTCAAATTCATCACATTCTTTGAATTGTATTCATTAGCATTCTTTGAATCATGCTGGTCTTTAAATACTGGTCTGTGATTTTCTGCATCCTTTCGTCTTCATGATAACAGTTTCATCGATCATCGCAAATTTTATCGCCAATTCTTCAGATTCAGTTTCAACAAACAAACATTGTCATTTATGGTCTTGAATGTCATAAATTTTGCCTCAGACACGAGATGCACCCTTATGCACTTCTCCTTTCACTATTAGTGAGAGGATATTTCAGAAAAAATGGTCGCATTGTACCGTATACAGCTCGAACCGCAACCGGACAACGTGATCGCTCAGCCGCATCTCGGCTTTTGATTCGAACACACACGCTTGATGGTCATACCAGAGCCGTTCTTTCCGTCTCTGCTAATGACACCACTGTAATCACTGGTTCGAAAGGTTCGCTTAGTAGAAAACGATTCCATTTTTAAGTTTACTCGGAACCAGAAGTTCCTAAAATTTTTGCACTGAATTTGGCCGTGATTTCTGCTGTTATAATAGTTGAATCCGATAAAATGTTGGAGGACAGGTAAGCAAGCATTGATGATTTGCAGATCGTCTAGCAAAGCTGTGGGATTTGGAACGTGGTGTAGAACGATGTACGTTTGGTCTACATCAGAACAATGTGAATTGTGTACGTTTGATTCCGAACAGTCATTTAGCACTGAGTGTGTCGATGTCAATGGTTCGACTATGGGATATACGCAGCGAAAAGTGTGTTTATGTGCTTCATTCGTCAGGACTTGCTACTGAAGGTGGGTCATCTGATGAACGCTTGCGATAGTTTTATCTGTTCATCAAGAACGCATGTTCATTGCAGGCGATGCAATCCCTCCGAGTCCGTCTCGTCAAAACACGGTACCAATCTCAGAAACTGTTATCAACGCAGCAGAGCCTGATCCAACCGGCAGGTGATTAATTAACTCTCATTTTAACACTCGTCAANTTTACTGTCATAGTATTCAAAATGAATAATTGATCGTTATTTTCATGTTATGAACTTTTCTTATATTTGCATCTTAATTGTTTTAATTTTCAGTTTGTTATTCACATCGTTTTGTGGTGATGTTCGAATCTGGAAAGTGGATAAATTTGCATCTATCGGTCGTTTAACGGGTGCAGCGCACGGCCCTCGGTTTGTTTCAATCTTCTAGAGGACTACACACTGCTTTCACACATAATTTACACATACATATGTAAATTTGGTTTTCTCGCGGGACACATGAATATATCGAAATCGTTTTCGAAGATGGACTGCTCGCTTGTTCTATCACAGTTTTGAAGCATGCGAGATGAAAATACCAGCACATCGTTACAAGCACACAACAAAAAGACTACGATACATTGACGATAATTTTAGTGTGATCGCAAAGTTTATTTCTTTCCCAGCTCCTTCCAAGAGAAGTAATTTCTGTTAATAAATGGTGCAATCGAAGCACATTCAAACTGAACCAGATGAGAGTCGTTCTGAAGTCGTTCAACAGAATCAGTTGAATAATTGCATGAGCAAATTACTTTCTAAAGTACTCGAATTCATTAGTTCATGTATCGATGACAGGTTAACACTCATAAAGTAGGTCAGATTGACTGTTCTTTGGTTGTTAAAGGAATCTCCAAAAAAAAGTGTAGTTAATGCCGATGAATATTTGATAGAATCAACTCACGCAGTTGAGCATCGCATCTGGATGACTTCTCAATGATAGAACCATGATAATTTCAGTTCGGAAGTGTCATGCCTGGCCGTAACGAGTGACCATATTCCACGCGTATTCACAGGTTCGCGTGATCATTACGTGAAAATGTACGATGTGGCACCGTTAGATCAATGTGTTTTCGAGGCGCGCTACGAATTCAGTCCACCACATTATGATAACGTTACTGCGATTCTTCCGTACGGAGATACACTCTTCACCGCCTCCAAAGACTCGGTTTGTACATTTCAACAAAATTTCTGACAACTTCAAACCTATTTGCTCATGGAATATTCATTTTGAGTATTTTCAATAGAGATAAGCGTTAGGAGTATGATGATTTTGAAAGAAATTCTATCAGTATCCTCAACTCTTTTATCGGGTACCGCGTTCCATTTTTTTTTGAAACTTCTCATTTATGCACTCGAAGAAAACTACCTCGCCAGCTGGACTGCTCTTGCGCTATTGGATTTCGTTGAGAGAGCGGCCATTTTC